ATTGAGAAGCATCTTTTCCTTCCTTGTGGATAAGCACCATATGGGCCTGTAGAGATTCTCCTCTCCATCCCTCCTCCCAAAGCATTCATATATCTTCTGAGCTTAGGTATTAATAGTTTGCTGTATTTTTTATAGTACCTCACAGTGTAACCATCTGGTCCTGGACTTCTCCCCGACACTGTACTTTTTAATGCTGCTTTTATTTATTCCTGTGTAATTTCTGCATCTAGGGAATTCAGTTGTACTTTGCTTAATTTCGATAGGCCCACATTCTCCAGATATATATTTGTTTTTTGAATCCTCAGTTTCAGTTTTCAGTATTTTTTTAGAGTCATGCGGACTAATATTATAAAACTTTCTATAATATTCCATAAATACTTTAGCAATTTCTTTAGTTGAATGTACCAGTTCACCCTTGGAACGTTTTATTTTTTCTATGTAGTTCCTATTTTTCTTTTTCCTCAAGGCTCTCATTAAATATTTTCCTGGCCTATCACTCCATCTATACCTCTCACTTAACACTTTATTATAGATTCTTCTCCTCTCCTCCTCCATCAAAGACTCTAGTTCTTCTTTCTTTTTTATTACCTTCTGCCTTATTTCTTTTGTTATTCTATTTTTATGTATCTGTTCCAGGTCACATATTTCTTTTTAAAAGCCCACTAACTTTCTCTCTTCTTTCCTTTTTTCTTTTTTGCCCCAATCGCAATCAACATTCCTCTTATATATGCCTTATGAGACTCCCACTCTGTGGCTATCGACACATCTCCTGTCTCATTCTCCTTAAAAAATCACTTAATCTCTTCCCCAATCTTCTGAGCAATATCTTTATCTAGGAGAAGTGCCTCATTCAGCTTCCATCCTAGACCTCCTTCCGCCCTCCTTCCCCCCACTCCATTTTCATTGTGACAGGGGCATGATCTGAGGAAGACAGCTTCTTCTATTTCTACCTTAACCACATACTCAATGAGTTGATTTTTCTATCAATATATAATCTAGTCTCGAATACATCTCATGAACATTTGAGAAGAAGGTATAGTCTCTATCATGCATATGTTTAATTCTCCAGATATCCACCAGTTGACACTCAATCGTCTTAGAGTACCTCCCTTTCTTGCATCTTCAAAAATGAAAGTCGGCCTTTTTTAAAGTCCATCAGCTTCTTCAGTAGCTCCGGCTTTTTGGACAGTAAATATTAGCCATTGTACACTCAATTTCTTGTAGTTTACCTCTTAAAAACAAAAATCTCCCTTCCGGATCCATCTTCCTATCCTCCAGCTCAAACCTAATATTCTTTGCAAACCCTATTGCTACTCCCTTTGCTCTCTTAATCGGGGAATCTGCATAGTACCATGCTGGGTAGTACCTAGATTTAAACTTAACATTTGACTCTATCTCAAAATGTGTCTCCTGCAAAAAAAACACTGAAGATGAATTTAAATAGCCTATATTTTCAATTCAATCCATTTACATTATAAGTTTAAACTGTATTTCTTCCATCCTTCTTTCTCTTCCTCCACCCATGCTCTTCCTTATTCCTTGCTTTTATATCTCCTTCTATCATGCAGGAAGTTGACCCCAATACCCCTCTCCCACCCCCTCCCATCCTCCCATCCACTCCCCCCCCCCATCCCCCTCCCCCCTTACTCCCCCCTCTCTTTTTAGGCTTCATTAAATTTGGGCCTACCAATCATTTGTGGGCCTAATCCCACCTTTGATTTAATCCTTGGGGCTAAACTCCGCCCATGAACGGCTCTCCCTCTCTCCAACCTCCCCAATTACCCCCAAGCTATCTAATTGACACAATAAGGTCCCTAAGACCACAGGTCCCTAAGACCGGTGATCTACGGGGATATCGCAAGGGAGAGAAGTAGACCAGAAGGGAAAGCAAAAAAGAAAAAAAAATTCCACTCTTCCCCCCTTCCTCCCCCCCTAACAAGCTGTCAATCCTCTTTTCTTGTAGTTCTAATTTCTCTATCTTCTTCCCATCCAGCAATTTCCATTCTTTGCAATTCGAGTCTATCACAGAAGTCTCTCAGGTCCTCAGAAAATCTCAAATAAGCTGTAACTCCATTTTTCCATCCTATTAGGCACTCTGGGGTCCCCCATCTATAATGCACGTTCTGATTTCTCATCTGCTCTAACAGGGGTTTCAGGGATCTCCTTCTCCACAAAGTCTCAGGTATTAGATCTGCAAAAATCTGAATGTCTATTTCTCCATGCTTAATTTGTTCTTCCTTTGATCTTCCTCCAAATTTCTTTTTATCCCGATACTTATGAAATTTAACAATTATATCTCTCGATTTTTCCTTCCCAGTACTTTGTTGGAGTTTTCCTATTCTAAAAATTCCATCTAATTTAATCACTTCTATATCAGATCTGTCCATTATGGAGTTAAGATTTTACATACTACTTCTTGCAATACTTCTCCTTTTGGAATCTCTGGGACCCCTCGTATCCTAAGATTGCTCCTCCTGTCCCTGTTTTCTTGTACCTCTACCTTATAAAGCATTTTTTTCTGAACTTTCCCCATGTTGATTATCTTCTTTTCTAATTCGGAAATGTCTTGGGCCTGCTTTTTAACTTTCTCCTCCATTTCTTCCATTCTCATTAACAGCTGCCCCAAATCATTCCGAATAGTTGCCATTTCTTGCTTTATTATTTTCTCCAATTCTTTGAACATTTCTCTCATCTCTTTTTTATTCGGTACTTGTAGTTCTCTTTCAAGCTCTTTCATCTCCATATTTCCTGATATTTGTTGACTGCTAGCATTCAAGCTCGATGATAGTCTAGGACTATTTTCCAGACTAAGATCCACTTCTCCTTTTTCATTTATGCCTTGGGGTCTTTCTGGGGTCACAGTTCCCTGGGACGTACATTTTTTAATTGTGCCAGTTTGGGACCCTTTGAGCCCACTTCCTTTAGCACTTTTGTTTTTCATATCTTCTGTGGGTCTTATTCTCCTTAATAGACTCGGGGTAAGTAAAAGTTAGATATATATACTCGGGTCTCAGCCTTGCCTGGTTATTTATCCATTAACTTCTCTTTCTATCTCACTTAGTCCTCTTCTCCTTTCCACTCCTTTGTATTCCCTGGGAATCCCCCTTTCTCTCCTTCACCCTCTGCTTTTCAAAACAGCACAGTGTAACCATTGACCTGTATCAAGCCTCAGCCAGTCTCACTCACCCTCCTCTCTCTTCTCTTCTTGCAAGGTGGCTCCAGGCTTCAGATGTCATTCCTTTCAGCAGTTCATTTCTCAGGGGGATTCTTCAGAGTTATTTCTGGTCGTTGACACGAGACTGGGGCATTAGGCTTTTCTTCAGCCCTAGCAACCAGCCAGATAGCGAACCGAGGAGCTGACCGGCGCCTCCTTCTCTCCACAGGACGCTGGCCAGCTTCCTCAACTCCCAGTACGCCTCAGCGGCTGACCACGTGGTCAGGCCACACCTCCTTGTCTCCCGGCAACCCGATACAGTGTCTTTGTGGGCCCTGGACAGGCCAAAACTCCGTCTCTCACTCCCGGTCCACCACACCAGAAGACAGCCACAGATCCACCGAGACCCCTCAAACAGAGGTAGGTCTCACCCCGCCAATCTCCTTCATTATGAGGGCTCCTGGGGAGGTCAGAAAGCGGAGCTTGTCAGAGAGCTCCTACATCGAGCCCTCCTCAGCCGCCATGGTCAGGCTCCCCACCTTGGATCTTGATTGTTTTATTTGTTTTAACACAAATTGTCATTGAGATGTAGAATAGGTGCAATTACACATTTTCATAAACTTTCTTAAAAATGTAAACAAGTCATCTTCTTCACTTATGACCACTCTTACCTGGAGGTTTCAAAATTCTTATTATTTCCTTCTTTCCTTTGTTATTGTAGGCCATGCAACTAAAGTTAGACTTATAATCACCTTCCTCCACGTTCATAATAGTGAGATTTGACTCAGCATAAATTTCATTTGGGGATATGCGGTAAGTTCTAAAAAGAATTTTTAGTTAATGGATATGTGTAAAATAGTGATAATATCTAAATGATCTTTCTTTATTGTGATTACAATACATCAGACTATCAGTATTCTCTTCTTCTGTGTAGATTCTATTTCTGTATTTAGAGAGTGCTTGGTGATCTATATTGTGCAACAATATTATTTTGATTATTGATAGTTAAGTTGTGATTGGATCCCCTTGCTTGAGCCGGGATTACACTCTGCAAATTTCATCCAGTTTCTGATTAATCAGATGCATTTTGCTCTGTAGGGGATCCTGTCAGTAAATTGCATGCCAAACAGCAGCTGCAACCAATCAGATGTAGCCACTGTTTGGATGCTCTGACAGCCATCACTTTTGTCAGATTACAAAAGTCAAGCAGAGGAGGAATCTGGTAAATTCTTATCAGTATGTGGCCAGCCTAAAGCCAAGTATACACGATCAGAAAATCGAGCGAAAAAATACTGCTTTAGATGTGATCATTCAATAATCTGATTGTTAGTACACAGCCTTTTATCTGAAATTATTAGAAGGGACAAACACGAAAATGTTTCTTGCACCAGATTGTATGATTTTCATTTTATCAATACAGTATTTGTCCGAAAAAAATTGGAAGAGCAAGACCATGCATGCTCAGAAACGAAAGAATACCTTACAATACAATACATTAAATAACTTCTGAAATCATATTCTGTCGTACAGGAATTTTCGTAACTTTAGTAACCTCTTCATTTTCAATATGAGACTAGCATGCAAAAAAAAATGGACTGTCGATCTCACCAGGCTTTACTAAACCTTGCTCCTTTTTATAAAATGATTACCGTATTTTTCGCTCCATAAGACACACCTGACCTTAAGATGCACCTAGGTTTTAGAGGAGGAAATAAAAAAAAAAATATTCTGAACCATAGGTCTGTAGGCATAGTACAGGAGATGATTAGAGACTGCAGACATAGTAAAGGAGATGACCAGAGACTGAGGACATACCACAGGAGATGACCAGAGACTGCAGTCATAGTACAGGAGTTGCCTAGAGACTGCGGACATAGTACAGGAGATGATCAGAGACTGCGGACATAGTACAGGAGATGACCAGAGACTGCAAACATTCTACAGGAGATGACCAGAGACTGCGACATAGTAAAGGAGATGACCAGAGACTGCGCACATAGTACAGGAGATGACCAGAGACTGCGCACATAGTACAGGAGATGACCAGAGACTGCAGCACATAGTACAGGAGATGACCAGAGACTGCGGACATACCACAGGAGATGACCAGAGACTGCAGTCATAGTACAGGAGTTGACCTAGAGACTGCGGACATAGTACAGGAGATGACCAGAGACTGCGGACATAGTACAGGAGATGACCAGAGACTGCGCACATAGTACAGGAGATGACCAGAGACTGCGCACATAGTACAGGAGATGACCAGAGACTGCGCACATAGTACAGGAGATGACCAGAGACTGCACATATAGTACAGGAGATAACCAGAGACTGCAGACATAGTACAGGAGTTGACCAGAGACTGCGGACAGAGTACAAGAGATGACCAGAGACTGCGCACATAGTACAGTGGATGACCAGAGACTGCAGACATAGTACAGGAGATGACCAGAGACTGCAGACCTTTGGGGAGTGGGTACCTGAATTTCACTTCCACTGTGATTGCCCAGGCGATCGGAAGCAGAAGTTGTCCTCCCTTCCCGTAGTCTTCTGGGACCCGTGACAGGTCCCAGAAGACTACGGGACCATTCACAAAGTGCAGCATTTCTCACACATGTGCAGTGGGCACCTGGCTGTGAAGCCGCAGCTGTCACAGCCAGGTGTCCACACTGAAGATGCCGACTCTGAGAAGAGAAGAAGGCTGGAGAAACCAGCGGTGATGAGGACACTTCTGGACCGAGGAACAGGTAGAACAGAGGGAGCAGGTTCTGCTGCACAGCAAAGTCGAGCGGCCGGTTCGGTATTCTAACACGACGGTGGCAACGTGGAAGGGGGGGAATACCGGCTGATCGCTCCATATTCGCTCCATAAGACATACAGACATTTTCCACCATTTTTTGGGGGGGGAAAAAGTGCGTCCTATAGAGAGAAAAATACGGTAAATGGAACTCTATCCCCACTACTATTTGTGTCCCCACTGGAGAAATTTCCTCTAATTTCCTAACAACACAGGAATTGAAGATTAATATTTCCAACATATTGTAGTCAGTGGTGTATTTAGGTTTTGTGCTGCCCTACAAAAAATACCCCCCCCCCCCCCGGTGGAGAGAGCCTGACACCAACTAACACAAACACCCCCAGCGAGAGAGAAAAATACACTCACCTTCACAGCTCCAGACATCCAGACAAGCAGCCCACAGCCTCTCTCGGATCCCACCTGGTCCCCATGCTGCGTGAATCCCTTCTTTGGGAAAGTGGTGCTGCCCCACTGAAATATGCAACCCTAGGCAAATGCCTTGTTTGCCTTGTGGTAAATACACCCCTGACTGTAGTCGCAGACTACAATGGAAACCTGTATAAACTAAATATATGTAATACTGCTCCAGGCTGGTCCACTCTTGCTCACAAAATATTGAGTGTGCATCCAGCACATCTTAGAGATAAATACATTGTATGACCCCCCCACTCTCCCCATACAGAATCCTCACCACTAGTATTTCTGGGTGCGGAGGACACTGATATAGCATTACAAATCTTCCTGAGACCTACTGATTTCCTGCCACCTCCTTGAGATGACATCAGTGATCCTCTGAGCTCTGAGCGAACCCCTCTGCTAGACAACGAAGTGACCATGTCAGGCAGGAAGTGATGTGAACACCCAAAGAAGGACTCCACAAAAGAAGAGAGGAGGTGTGACCTGGTGACATCATGTGACAATGTGTTCTGACTGCAAAGGAAGGGGGCAATATCCCGGAGAGAACTTTTAGTGCCCTTTAGTGTATAGACGTTTCACTGCTCCCGTTGCACCAGCTTTATGGATTTTTATCAATAAAAAGTCTGTTTTACTGGAGTGTGGTTGCCCACTATTTTGCTTTTTGGACTTGCTTGACAAGCAACCAGCATTTTGTAGGTGACACAGAGGTGGCACACGTATGCCACTCCTTAATAGCACACGAGCCAGCTAAAAAAAAAAACTGAATATCTCCTAAACGGTGCATGTTTAAGAGAAATTCATTTTACCTACAGGTAAGCTTTATTAAAAGCTTACCTGTAGGTACAAATTAACAAAGTAGGTTTACTACCACTTTAAATCTACCTGGTGGCTGGGATTTCTGAATCTGGTGCAGGCCATTTTAAAGGGCCATACCACCATAAAAATGGGATTTATTGAATTGGCCCAGGAAGATACAAATGTTTTAAAAACTGTGGTTCAATGTATAATTTGAAATTATATAAACAGGCTCCGCTTCCTGCATTGCATTGCTATACAATACATATGCTTTACTTCTCCTTCTAACAATGGAGTTTATTTACTAAAGCTGGAGAGTGCAAAATCAGGTTCACTTCTGCATAGAAACCAATCAGCTTCCAGGTTTTATTGCCAAAACGTAATTCAATAAGCTAAGGTTAAAAGCTGATTGGCTACCAAGCACAGCTGCATCAGATTTTGAGTGAACCAGCTTTAGTAAATCCCCCCCCCAGTCTCACAATGTAAGTCTGTGAATCAGCTGCTTTATTTCAAATAATCCAGTCTCCGTGCAGCTGATTTTGTAAGCAGATAGGGAGAGTCATTGCGGTAGCGACTTTACTAGGGGGATGGAGCAAAGGTACTGAGTCATATTTTTGTTTTTTTTTTTTTTTTTTTTTGCAAGTTTCTAGGAAAAGCGCTGCAGGGTACTGTTGGTCAAGTTTCTTTTCATGTTTTTATGTTTTGGAAGCCTGCAGCATAATCAGAGAAAAATCAAAATTGCACCCAATTTTACTGAAACGGTCTGATCTGTTCTTGGGCAAGGCGGTCACATTTTGCATATGTATTATGTCATTTACTTTAAAGTACCAATGAGTGATGAGGAGGAAAAGCGCCTCTAAGTGCAGCAGACCACTTTAATATAGTATAAAAGTAGGAACACTCACATTTGGGTAGATTAATACAGGCATGTTAAATGTAAGGTATTGAACACCAAGTAGAATGGCTGTCATTGGTGCCCACTGTGTCCGCGTCTCGCTGGAGCAGCGTGGTGGCAGGAGGGAGGGCAATGTCCACCAGGATGCCTAAAAACAGTTCCACACAGCCCCAGATACATAAAGTACATTACACCACTTGTTTATAAATGTCCCACCCCAGATCCAGCTCAAATCTAGGTTACCAAGTAGCACATCTTTGGCTCAAATAATATAAAAAGTTAATAATATAAAGTTGGCAATAACTGGGGCAAAATTGGCAAATGATGCATTAGGCAGGTCTTGAGGACCAGCAGGGGCAAGATAAGAAATATGCACAAGAAGAGTTCCATATCCCTGATTGTGAAGGTTTGTCTGCACGATCTGTCTGACACAATGTTCTCATAGACACAACACTGTTCTTGGGAATTCCTGGCCTCAATCTCAATAGATACTACCGGATAGTCAAACAGTTTCAGGACCCTGCTCTCCTCCATACTCTGACTGGGAGAAGCAGACATAATTACTAATCTCCTCCATAGGCCATAATCAGTGGGTAGAAGGCTAGCCCATAATCCCCTCCAAAAACCCCTGTCCAAGTTGGGTCTGTCACAGTTCCCTTTAGGTCTCTTTAGGACAGGAAATGAAGATGAATCTCTCCAGTAGGAAACAGGCAGCAAAAAAACTTGACAGGGGATTTTATTCTTCCATTTTCTATACAAAAGTAAAAAACTTTTGGTTTAAAGTTATTTAAGTTATTTTTTATTATTAGGACCATTCACACCACTGTACTGCAGCAACACCTACGCCTAATATGTTGGCTTCCATACTATCCATTGTGAATAACACCCAAATGCACCCGTGTTGCAGTACACAGCAATGTGCAATAACACACTTCCTTGCATTGAGGTGCACTATACTAGCAAAAATACTGCATGACATGACACCTGCGCAAACATGACACATGTGAATGCATGACATTTGTACATTAATGTATGCCTTAAACACAGAATAATGAACTGGTGTGAATGGGCCCTCACAAAAAGCTTTTAGACATGATTCAACTTATAATTTATGTTTAGTGGCTCTTTAGCTAGGATTCATACTTCACACTGGGGGTGTGGGAGCAGAATTTTTTGCTGGATGAGGTTTTCTCAATGTACACACACCATATTGTGATATGGCAGAGATACATCGATGATATACTATTTTTCTGGGACGGATCGGAAAGTCTGTTAAAACAATGATTGGATGCGATGAACCGGAATAATGCAAACCTTTTCTTCACCATGACACATGACCGTCATAAAATACATTTTTTGGATATAACTATAATGAAAGGACAAAAAACAGGACAATTGAGTAGTACTCTATATGGGAAGGAAACTGCCGGCAATACAATTCTACATGCCGACAGTTTCCATCCTGAACTGCTAAAAAGATCTATACCATTCAGTCATTTTCAAAGCATTAAACGTAATTGTACGAGCTATGAAGACTTCCAAATGGAATCTGACAAGCTTACAGAAATATTATTAGAAAGAGGGTATACAAAATCCTCCTTGAAAAAGGCATTCAACCAGGATAAAAATCAAAATAGACAGGATCTTCTATTTAATTCAAAAACTACGAAGGATTTAGCGAAAATAATGAGAGTAATAATAAAATACTCTAATGAACATAAAAAAAATAGGAAAATCTTGGAGAGATATTGGCCTATTCTGTCGGAAGATCCTTTATTGGGCAAATTAGTGAGTCCAACTCCTGCAAATACATATAAAAAAGTGGGGTTAATGAAACAACTTTTGGTGCATAGTGAATATAAAGGAGAAAAGAGAGCAGATCCCTGCAAAACAGGTGGGCACATGTTTGTGCGTTGTTTGTGCATACTGTCCCTTTGTTAGTAACTGTAAACAAATGATTCTTCCAAGTGAAAAAAATTAATTTCAAAACACTTTTCCAATTGCAAAACCAAAGGGGTAGTGTACCTCATGAGATGCGATTGTGGATCCTTTTATGTAGGGAAAACACGTCAGGAATTTTGGAGACGCATGTATAAAAAACATCTTCACAGTGTGAAAATTGGGAATTTATACTTACCTCTAGGCAGACATGTGGCCATAATCCACAAATATAAAATGCCAAAAGTAGTTTTTACAGTTTTGGATAGAGTTCACATCCCGATAAGGAGTAAGGATTGGAATTAGGTGCTGGATCAGGCACCTAAATGCCACAATCCCACCAGGCTTAAATGAATCGGAGAGTTTTAGACCTTTCTTAGAAGGCTTTAGTTCAGGTAAAACAGATTGAATAATGACTATTCTTAGAGGCACTATTTAATTAAGACTATTTGTCTATCCACATTTACGATTCTGACAAATTCTCTCAACTGATTTCAACTTTTTTTTCCCTTTTCTCCAAACTTTTCTTCTTGGTGGGAATAATCCCCTCTGAGTAAATAACTTGATAATAGATACGTTTAATCTAATGCTTGGGTAGAATGTTTATTGTAATTTTGGATTTTGTTTAATTTAAATGTTTTACTTCTTTCTACTTTAATGTGGATGCCTTTCCTAATTTGAGATCGACAAGTGGACACCGATGTAACCCCCACACACCCGGCACGATGTATTCCCACCCCCACACAGCTCTCTGAGCATGTCCTCCCCACCAGAGATCGACAAGGACACCTCCCCTCTGAATGAGGGGAGGCAATTCCCGCCTCCTGGAGGTATAGACAGCTCTCTGAGCATGTCCTCCCTGGAACCTGCTGTATATACAGCAGGTTTGCGGTATGCTGTGTCAGTGGTCTATCCCTTAATGCCACTCCGGGCTTTCCAGAAATCACTGTGGCAAAACTGGACATGACGCGAGTGTGTATGGCGTCATGATGCCGGATGCT